GTTCTCACCTTTTTAAAGAAAAGAAGCCCAAGTGTTCAGAGCTGCTATGCTCCAGAAGTGCTGGCTACACAGCATTGCTGCTGGAGAGTGGCCTGGTGCTTCGCTGCTCAGGTCTCTGAAGACCATCCACTGACTTTCCTCCTTCCGAGCCCCTGAGGCACATGCACACCGCTTCAGGCTCCCCCTACAGGACATGGGCCCACCTGGATCTCATGAAGTCCTCAGGTCCGCAAGGGCGAAGCTGCTCAAGAGCTAATGGTCCAGAGTAGCTCTGACTGGTCCCTTATCCACAGTCAGATCTAGGGTCTGTGCAGCCATGAGTATAAGGGGCTGTTGCCAGTGGCTCTTGGGTCTGAGTGTCTGAGTCTCCTGTGTGCTGCCCCTGTGGTCTCCTCACTGTGTCTGTTTCTCTCTGCAGGTGGCCCTATTGAATCCAATTGAAAACCCAGACCTGAAGCTGGCCGTCGTCATGCTGATAGTCCCCTTCTTTGTCAATGTCAGTGCCTTGTTGAGTGTCTTATCCCAGCTTGTACCCTGCCACCAAGGGTTCCTGTTCAAAGCTCTAAGTGTGACACAAAGGTCACCTTTACAGCCTCAGACAATCCTTTCTATCTGTGTAGCCAGTTGCTACCTTCCACTCCATAACCAGTCTTGAACTTGGTAGGAGTCCTTTCTCAGAAATCAGGTACCCATTCTAGGGCCCCTATTTCAGGTAAAGGATCATAAGAACCATGACTTGCTTTCCCTGATAGGCCACTTCACTGAGAGATCCCAGCCTGTGTGTGACAGTAACTTCTAGATCAGGGTCATTTCAAGTGTTCTCCTGATATTTACTGTTGAGTATAGACCTCAGAGAAACTCTTGAGCACAGTGGCCACATGTGAAGAACCAGTGATGTCGAGCACTAAAGGAATCAGGGGCTCTCTGAAGCAGCAGAGTATGGCCACCTGTGAAGAATCCATGAGGCTCAAAAACAGGTAGTTAGAGACCTAGGTTCTAGGCCTGAAACAGGCTGCCTGGTTTGTTTGTTGGTTTGTTTTTAGAGTTAGGGTCTCTCTATATAGTCCTGGCTGTCCTAGAACTCACTAAAGTAGACCATGCTGCCCTCCAACTCACAGAGCTCAGTCTCTGGCTCTGAAGTGCTATGATGAAGGGTATGCACCACCATACCTGGCCTGGGCTGCCTGTTATTTAACACAACAAAAGCCCATAAGTGACTCCAGCAAGAATTACCTTGCTAATCTCTGATAATGATAGTACAGCAAATGAGAGACTGGCAGTTGCTCTTGAATGTTCTGGGAGATGGTCAGGGCTGAGTGGAGCCTCTCTTCTCTGTGGAAGGGGTGGGTATAGAGCCCTCTGCTTTGCTTTGTTCTGGCCTATCCAAAGTAACCTACACTTTTTTCTTCCCACAGGCTTTCATGTTCTGGGTAGTGGACAATTTCCTCATGAGAAAGGGGAAGACGAAAGCTAAACTAGAAGAAAGAGGAGCCAACCAGGACTCAAGGAATGGGAGCAAGGTTCGCTACCGAAGGGCAGCGTCCCACGAGGAGTCTGAGTCTGAGGTAAGAGCCTCCCTGGCTCTCCCCAAGAGCTTGGCCATCATACCTTGGGCTCTGGGAGTCTCAGCTCAGTTTGTACCTGAATGCTGATTCACAGTATCCGTCAAGAGGGAAAGAAGCAGCTGAGCTGAAGAGTAGCCCAGGTCACTCAGAGCCTCATCAGCTTGAGCCCAATGTCTGCTGTCACATGCGCCTTCTCAGGCCAAAAAGTTGTAGTATGTAGATTTGCCACAAACCAACCCTGTGGCAGTGGAGACAGCCAGGTAAGGTGAAATCCACCTTATTCCAGGGAAGCATTAGGATACTTGGAGCCCTGTTCTTCACTAACGAGCAAGGGAAAACCTTTTAAACTATAGGACTAGCTAAACCTCACAGAGGTAAGCTCATCTCCCTTTACCTGCTGGTGCCTAAATTCAAGGGGCTGAACATAAGGAAGCAGCACACATGAATACAGCACAGGGCAGGAGTATGTGTCCCAGCTGGGCCGCAGCATTCATTACCTGTGCCTCAGCGTGCAGCAGCTGGGTGGGAGAGGCCTGAGGAAACCCTCACAGTGCTGGGCACTGTGCTGCCAGTGGGAGCTACAGACATGGTTGAGATTAGCCAGGCTTGTGGTACATGGCTTTAATCCTGCACTTGGAAAGTAAAGACATTCAGATCTGTGAGTTCAAAGTCAGCCTAGTCTACAGGCCAGAAAGGGCTATAGAGTGAGACCTTGACTCCCCCAGCCACCCCTCCCCGCAAAGTGACTGAGATGGCTGCTACCCTGAGGCTTGAGGATGAGGAAAAGCAAATGCACAAAAGTTCACCACCACACATGAAGTGCAGGGCATCAGTGATGAGCATAAGCACCAGCACTGGAGAACCCTGGGCAGACTGGAGGGGTTTTAAACAGTGAATAGATTAGAAGGCAAGCCCACATTTTCTCCAAGTTTGTATTCTGGTTACAGGAGTTTATTATATCATAATAATTGGCCAACATTTGGCAAATGACAAAAACCATAAAGCAGAAACTACAGCTTATGGGCATTGACAACCACGTGGTCTGGCCTCTGATATTAAAGTGAAATTCACACTGGCCAGAGCAGGGAGCCGTGAGCCATCAAGTGATTCAGTCCACAGGAAAGGTAGTGAGGCTGTTTGTCCTACCCCTGGAGTAGGAGTTCACATTCCCCTGCACAGCTGGGCTTTGGGCCCTTAAACCTTCATGCAGGCCATTCAGATCTTCCCGTGGTACTCAGAGGTCTAAGGCCAGCAGCTATGGCAAAAGCGAGCAAGTTTGTCTTCAGTGTCTCTACTGCATGGAGGAGTGAAGTGCTTCCCTCTTTATCTTCAGAAATGACAGAGGTAGCTCAAGACAGCTCCTCTGAAACTAACTGCACTGCCTGTGCGGTCTCTGGGATGATTCCTGTCACTTTTGAAAGACACTGTGTATGTAAGGCAGTTCCAGGACCCTGAGATTCCATGCACCTGATCAGCTTTGGGTCTAGCTGGAAGCCAGATCAAGGCATTGATGGGGTGGGTGGTGGCAGATTAGGGGTGGTGCCTTTAATGCTAGCTTCAACAGGCCAGCACACCTCAGTGTGGAAGGGGGATCTCCCTCGACCCTCTTCTAAGGATGTGGGAGACGAGAGGCCTCTCAGAGGGCTGGGTTCCAAGGAGGATGAGCACAGAAGGCACTGGCATCTCAGGCCTTGCCTCTTGACCACCTCAGATCCTGATCTCGGCTGACGATGAGATGGAGGAGTCTGACGCCGAGGAGGACCTCCGGAGACCTGTGAAGAAGAAGCACCGCTTCGGGCTGCCTGTATGACACATTCCCACGCTGCGGGTGACAGTCCTGGGGCCCAGCCCTGCAGCAGCATCGCTTCCCTCCTCTCTACCCTCCTCTTCTACCTCCATTCCTCCTGCTGTCTCTGCCCGCTCTCCACCCGCCCCAGACTACTGTGACTTAAAAGAGGGAAGAGGACCCGTGCCTGAGGGGGCTATGGGCAGCTGGAGTTCCCGCTCAGTTGCACTACACACTGACCAAATATGCAAGCGAAGAGCTTTGTTTGTTTGTTGTTGTCCCTTTGGGGTGCTGTGAGACCCCCTGTCCTGTCTGACCAGGTGGCATGGTAGAAGAAAACAGCACACACAGACTGGTGCGGGTCCTCGCGCTGAGGCTGCCGGCCTTGTGGACATGTGACACGCTTGGGGTTAACAGTCGCTGGTTGACCCAAGTTGGAACAGGAACGCTTTCTTAACTCAAAATGGCTTTTGTAACTCTTTATTTCTAAAGCCAGTTTTATGAGCTGTGACAGTGTTACTGTTTTTTGAGTATGTGTTTATTTCCTACAAAGTCTCTATGGATCTAATGGGCAAACAGATTTTTAAGTCTTCCGTATGCTATTTGACTTTTATATTTTTAAGTTATATTTTCATACTATTGTATTTAAAACTCTTTTTAATCCCCAAAGACATGGATTTGTTTGCCTTTCATGGGGTGTGAGCTGGTGGGAGGTGGGTAAAAATGAGAAGTGCTTTAGCCAGGAATATTGTTAGGTAACATGAGTGATGAGGTAAACGGTCCTGATGAGAAGGTGGAGAGATAGCGCTTATCTGCAGTCACGGATCCAGAGTTTGTTAAGGTCAGAACCACGCATGAGGCAGCTGTTCAAGTAGATCTGTGTGCTCCAGTGTGGGACAGACAGCCCTGCCAGGGCATACAAGCTGGCATGTTAGAGGCATTGGTTAAACTTGATTAAGGAAGGAGCCCAAGAGTTAGGCACTCGTGTCTAGAGGACTCAAGACCACCAGGCTACTCCATTGGTTTCCTGCCTCTCTGTCTCTACATTCCAAGTGTTAGAATGGCCTCGACTACCAGGACAGCAGCTTGCAGAGCCAGCCAACCTTTGCCCTGCTGTGTCACCAGCTGTCACCTGCTTGTTTGTTCAGCTGTCTGGAGAACTCTGCCTAGCCAGAAAAGCCTGTCATCATGCCCTCCAAAATTGTGAAGTGACTGCAGCAGAGCAGACTGGGGGAGCCACGTTTTAATGTGTAGGTTGTGTGAGGCATTTCTAACTGGCTCCTCTTTGCTGGCCACAACCACTCCTCAGCCTGGCTGTGGTTTTCCTGTGGTCCAGGCTGGCCTGGCATTGCATCTGGTACCGGAGCAGCAGGGCAGGGCTGTCTGATGGCTTGTCAGTGCAGCAGGCAGGGCAGTGGTAAGGAGCACAAGAACACCCCACCACTTGATGGGCTGGAGGTGATATGGCCGAGGCCTTAGGTGAGACAAGCACAGACGGGACAGTTCTCAGAACCTCCTAAGCCTATGTCAGAGTGTGCTTTGCGTTAGCATACAGGATCTAAATATGCTTGTGGCATGTGACCCTAGCCCTTACCCAGGGTACCCAGGACTATCTTCTGCCACTTGAAGTCTCACTTTTCATACAGAAGGGTATGCTCTGGGTGGCCCTCTCAGCTCATTTTCTAGTGCAAGTCACTGAGAAGAGTGAATCTGCTGTGGGAGGCTTCACATTCCAGTCAGGCAGAGGCCATGACCTAGAATGATCAGCCAGGTCCTGCCGTGTTCCTGTTTCCCGTGTCCTTTCTGTCCAACAGCTGTGGTCTTCTCTTCCCCTTCTGTAGGGAGCTTCCACTGAGCTGTGTGGAAGGGTACAACTCAGACTCCTGGTGGGATGGTCAGCTCCCGGCGGCATTGCTGACATCACCCTCACATCCCCTTCCTGTTTCATTGTGCTTTAGCTGGCCTCAGCTGCACACACCCCTGCCATCCTTCTGGAGCTCAGAACTGAAACCTCATTTTCAGACTCGAGCTCCTGGAGTTTCCAAACAGTCACAGAGGTGGGGGAAATGCTATAAAGGATGGAAACTCCGGTTGCACAGCCTCACAGAGGTGATCCGTAAGGTCCTCCCAGCTCCCAAGCACAGGGCCTGGAGGACAAGAAGCAAGCGAGTACAAGTTCTTTCTGCGACCTGATTTCCACTAAGGGCTATAGTCTCTGGACTGCAGCTGTGGAGCCGACTCAACAGGAAAGGACGTCCGTCAGGTATCTGATACTAGAGCCTGTCTGTGTGTAGGCTTGCTGTGTGTGTCCTTCCCCTCTTCCTGTATGGATGTGCACATGCACCCATGCAGCATAAGCACATACACTCACACAATTCGGCGTCCCTCAGGAGAGACTTGGGTGGCCGACAAGGCCTTTCTGTTACTGTGATGCACTGTCTCTCTGGAATGGATGTAGAGGGTCAGGACTTCTTCCTGAGCTGTCCTCCCTCTCTGGAACAAGTGTATGCATCACTTGTTCCAAGTTGCCTTATGAGATGGGACCCTTTACTGGCTGGTGGCAGGCAACACCAAGCTAGAAAAAAAAAAAAAGAAAAGAAAACAAGAAATGGAATGCTGACTTCGCTATGGTGTGCTGTCAATCCGATTTGTCCAAATAGATACCTTGGCCAAGCTGCTCTTGCTGGAAGCTTGCAAGCCAAGGCAATGAATACGTTTTTTGTAACTAACAGAAATAAACCAATGAGAGAGAGCTGACACTTAACTCAGAGAGATGGTGGTTACTTTTTTATTTCCTTTGGCTGTTGGTGGGAGTTTGGGAAAGGCAAGGATGAATGGTGAGATCCCGTGTGACAGTGTCCAGGAAAATGAGTGAGGTAAGACTCTCTGGCCCCTCAGCCCCTGGAGCATGTTGAGAGTAGCTTCCTGGCTCAAACTTTAAATTGTGAACTCCCCAGCACCAAAGAGTCATGGGTTCATGTCACCTCTCCTGCCTCTTTCCTCAGGGAAAACAAAAAGACTCAAATTCAAGTTGTAACTTTTCTTTGACAGTATAGGCCTGCTGGCACAGCTCAGGCTGCACATCTGAAAGGTGCCCCAAGACCTGGAAGGGACAGGTCCGGACGTCCCTCCTGCCAGGCGCAAACCCTATAGGATATAAGCTAGTCTTGTTTTGTTTTAAGGCAGTCTTGCTCTGTAGTCCCGGCTGTCCTGGAACTCACTCTGTAGACCAGGCTGGCCTCAAACTCAAAGATCCACCTGCCTCTGCCTCCCAAGTGCCAGGATTAAACATGTGCCCACCACTCCCCGAAGTGAGCTAGCTCTTCTTAAATAAAGATTTACAGAGCTTTCAGTGAGAGACTTGTCTGCGGTGAGGGACCTATGGCCAGCCTTGGTTTGAACACCCTGAGTTCTGAGTGGGTGAGTGGATTGTTTGATGGGCTGGTTGCCTGGTTTAGTTCTAAATTTTTCTTTTCATGGGACTTATTTAGAAGTCAGACTTCTATGAAGAAAGCACCCCACTTTAGCTGCCAATGACACTTGAGCATGGGGTCATGAGTCACAGAAACACATGTTTTAGATGAAAGAAAAGATGGTGTACTTCCATTGTAAACTGGTTTACAGTAAAATTTCACATCCTATTACCTTAAAGAAGAAAGAAAGAAACCAGTGTCTTAGTGGTCATTGGTTGTGTGTCCTGTGGAGTTAAAATAGCTCAGCGGGTTAATAAACCTTCCGATGGCTCCTGGCTGCTGTGGGCTCAAAGCAAGTCTAGCGTCCTCCCTGACAAGCCTAACCCAGTTTCCCTCCTGGAACATGAGAGCTGAACATCCCAGATCCTTGTCCTTGAGGCCAGAGCTAGACAGAGCCAGCTGTAGGCACTCCTCACAAGGCATGGCCTGACCTTTCCTTGGAATCAAGAATATTGCTCAGGCCAATGCTTAAAGACCTGATAGTGCCCACACTGACCTGCTGGGAACCAGGGCCAGAACAAAGAATGGGGTGGAGTTTGAGACACAACAGCTATGGAGTGATATTTAGGGTAACTGTTAGTGCTTGGATGAATTTCACCTGCGTAGTGCTTTCAGGGATAAAAATAATGTCCATTGTAGACTGGAGGGAGTGGAGATAAGTCTAACAAAGACAGACCTCCAACCCCCATCTACTACACCCCGCCTCAGGCTTAGGGTTCCTGCATTGCCCCAGGTGATCTTTCCATGCAAAGATGAACCTAGTGGGGATGCTAAATGATTTTCCAAGGGAGTTCTGTACTTTTTACTACAGCTTAATAGCTGAAGTGGCATTCACCCCTCTCCTCTAAAGTCCTGCCAACCAGCTCTCCAGTGTCCGTCTTAGGCCTTTACCAGCCCTCTGTAGACATTTACCAGCAAGCATGGTCCCTTCCTGGGCCCATACTGTACCTTGCTTTGTCCCTTTATTAAACTTGTCTCCAGGCTGGCTAGGGGACCCAGGCATCAGAAAAATTGTAATATAGCTGCTCCACGGGGGCTCGGCCTTACTGGCTACTCCCTTTGAGTTGGCTGTGCTCACCATGAGGAAATGCTTCCAAGCAACAGAAAGGAAGTTTCTCCCCTGCTAGTGTGCTGGGATGGAAAAACTATTTCCAGTGGAATCCAGGAGTAGAAGAGAAAGATAAACAAACTCAGAGCATCCACCCTTGTTCAGGGCCCTCCCTTTCCTCAGTGATTCCCCCTCCTATCCCTGCCACTGGGATGGGTTCTTGCAGTCAGCCTGCTCAGGCTGTACCACACATTCCAGGCACATTCATAAACAGAGTCTGGACAAGAGTGCCAGCACCTCCCACCTACAAGTGAGCTGCTGTCCCCAGAGATACAGGGTCCTCCCGGCCGGCTGCTGTCACCAGGGCTGCTGCCCATCATCTCCAAGAATAAACTCCAGCTAGTCGCTGTGTGGATCTGAATCATCTGAGAGATTCCAAAGGAGGGGAGTGACTACCCAGGACGGACAAGCAGGCTATATAAGTTCCCAAGGATTGGGCTCCACGCAGATCTTTTCCTGTGGCTACTGCCTGCCAGAGAGTCACCAACAGAGAACTTGCTTGGCATCTACCATGTCCGAGGTAAGGCGGCCCAGTGGGGCCCATCTGGTGCCAAGGAAGTTTGAAGGGCAAGGCTGGACACTAATGAGTAGTGTCTGCTCTGAAATAAAAGCCAAGCCTCAACAAGAGGCACTGGGTCCCAGCAGGCTCAGGTGAATGGCCTTGGCTGTTCCAGGCTAGTTGTGAGGGTTTGGGGCCGGGGAGTGCTTATATAGAACTTGGTATGTATATGAAGGAACTGACTGATGGCTTAGCGTGTCCAGATGTGTGTACATTTGTAATCTGGAGGAAGGATGAGGGACGGTGACTGGACCTATAGATCACAACTGTCCATTTCCCTACGAGGGTGTGTCTCTACAGGCCCATGACTCCCTGGGAGCTCAGCCCAGGCTAAGTGAGGGAATCCTTGCACCTGCCTGCCGGGCTTAAGAAGAAATAAGCCCTCAGCCTCACAGGCGCCAGCCCGGGGTGGCGGGGAAGGGGAAGCACTAAATCTGGCTTTCCCGGTTCTACTGGGACAAGAACACCAAGGTCGTCCTTGTTCCCTTCTCCATGGCTGTGTACTCCATTCCCTTCCCAAACACAGTAAATATCAATGATTTTGTTTTAGCAAAAGAGGGGAGGGGCAGTCTGTATGGGACTTTGCCACCTTTGTGAACAGGTCTTAGAATTCACAAGATTTCCTAGGGCTGCTCAGTCTTGAAGTTCATCCTTTTCCTGTCTGTCCCTTGTGTCTAGTCTTGAACCCAGTCTGACAAACAGGCCAGTGCAAGGCTGCAGCAGTCCACTCCCAGGAGCTCCCTCCCTGTCTGTGGGGCAAGATCAGATTCCAAGTCAGACTAAGAGAACAGGAGTCAGGAGAGGAGGGAGCTTAAATTGGCTTAATTCAGTCACCTGGGAAGAAGGGACCCCTGCCAAAGTTGGAGGGGGTCTTTATCTCAAGGCATTGAATTGTAAGGCTCTCGGCTTTCCAAGGTTGGCACTCCTGATGCCCCCATCAAGAAGAAGCGTCCCCCTGTGAAGGAAGAAGACCTGAAGGGGGCCAGAGGGAGCCTGGCCAAGAACCAGGAGATCAAGTCTAAGACATACCAGGTCATGAGGGACTATGGTGCGTATCCCCCAGGGCGTGTGGTAGGGTTGGAGACATAAACATTCCCCCAGTGGTAGTTGAGAGGTATTGAGGGTTTCTGGGCATAGGAGGGGTTGCACACAGCATAGGGAGCCCTGCCCCTGAGAAAACCAGTTTAGATCCCTGATGTTACCTCCTCCATCTCTCGCCTGCAGAGCAAGCTGGCTCAGCTGCCCCGTCTGTATTCAGCCGAAACCGCACAGGCAGCGAGACAGTCTTTGAGAAGCCCAAAGAGGGACCTGCCAAGAGCATCTTCGGCTGAGAAGTGCGAATTCCACCACACACCTGGACACAGGAGCCTTTCCCACGAACTCTTTTTTTTTTTTCTTTTTTAATGCTGGAAGATGTCTTCTTTCCTCTGCTGCCTCTGGAACCATCGTGACGCCTACACCGTTAGAAACACCAATAAAGAGTAAAGAGTATGCCCAATGCCCCCAACCTTGGGATGTTGCCATGGCCACTGCCTGCAGAAGAAGAAAGCAACATATGGGACATAGCATATTTGGTGCCCTCCCTGGGCTCTGAGGTGGCCAGGGAATGCTTTGTGCTTTCAGAGCCACTGAGGTGTTCTAAAAAGAGCCTTAGACATGGAGTCCTGGCATGGACTTTCTGATGGATGTAGAGTTGTCTGTTCTTCCTAAACCTCTGTTTTAGGCTGGAAAGCTGGTGCCATAGCTAAGAGTACTTGCTGTTTCTTTAGAGCCCTCTGGTTCAGTGCCCAAATATCCACATGGTAGCTCATAGCCATTTAACTCTGCCACCCTCTTCTGGCCTCTGCGGGCATTGCATACATGTACACCTGTAGTCGAAATATTCATATACCTAAAAAATAAAATGTAAAACTAACCTTTGGTTTCCCATCATGTACAACAGGAGAGTTGAGTTAATGCCTATCCCATAAAGCAGGGCACAGTAACACAGTGAACTTGTTGGAGGCCGAGCTCCCTCTGCCTGCCACAGACGATGCTGAGGTGTTTCCAAAGTCCTCAAAGCCCACTGTCCTTGCACCTTAGCTTAGTCCTTGGCGCCCCTGGTCTGTACGTCTCCATCTTAAAGACCAAGCTGGGTGTGGTTCCTCTGGCCAATGGCAGTGAGTTTCCAGGACTCCCCCACCAACCACATCCTGCCCCCAGCATGATGTCTGGATATGAGAACCAGGTTCCTGGCTACATGTGATCTATCTCTTCAGACTTGTGTCCTATGTCTGCTGTGTCAGGTTGAGGAAGATAAAGCCCGCCCAGTTAGGATGACAAGAACACAAGCAGGCTAATAATGGCTCCTACTGGGAAACTCCTGTGACCCCTGGGCAGGTAGCTCTGGCTCTAGGCTGGGCTTATTCTCTGGGTCCCAGAGGAGCAGACGTTCTGTGGGGGCAGAGCCTGTACTTGCTCACTGGACTTCTTAATGTTCTTCCCAGAAGAACCGTGTGCCCTGTGCAACTCCAATCCCATCTACAGCCTGGAAAGTGAGCAGCTGCATAGGAGTGTGGCCTCTGACCATAGCCTTGCAAGGGAAGGTTTTAATGGAAGCAACAGAAATTTCCCCAAAGTCTCCAATGCCCTGTCCCAGGGTCAGATGCCACCAGCCTTCAGGTAAACTGTACTGGTGATAGACAACACCAGCAGCTGCCCACACTTTTGGGTCTGTAGACTCAGGAGTGGGCTTTTCAGGACCGCCAGAGAACATCAACTCCAGCTGCATCAAGTACTCAATATCTGGCTACTTTATCACAGTATCCGCTAATTTTTTTTAAAGTGCTAATGGGTGAGGGAGAGGTATCCACCATTCCTGCCTCACTCCTTGAAACCTGCAGTAGGCAGAAGAATTGGCCTTAGAATCATGAGAGAGGGAGAGCTGGTACTGCCCCTCACTGGCTACAACTCTCAGGAGATCAAGCCTGCAGAGGTCTCCTGAGCAGTGCAGTATGGCTGACCCTGGAGTTGGGGGTAGGGGTGGCAGGTGAGCAAGCCCGGAGGGTATAAGCATGGGAGAGTTTGTCTGCCATGTGGTGACATGGGCAAGGGAGAGATGCCACTCCTTGTCCCTCCCTACCTATGGCAGGTGGGAGAGTTGGCCCCAAAGTCATGAGGGCTAGAGAACCAACCCTGCCCCTCGCCTGCTGTAGCATTTGGGAGACTAGGCCCTGCACCTCGCCTGCACACCACAACAGACCTGGCTCTGTTGGAGAGGCCCGAGAGCATGAGAGCAGAGTTGACTCTGTCCGTTGCTGGCTGGAGCATTAGGTGAGCTAGCCTGAGCAGTGCTGGAGAACTCAACCTTGTGCTGTGGGGACAAGAGAGATGGAAGGCTGACCAGCTCAGCTGCCACCCAAGCCCAGATCTAGAGCTTTGAGTTGGCTCAACCCCACCCCAACATCCTTTCCATCTGTGAACTGCTGGAGTGTGTGAAGGAGCTGGTCCTACAGATAAAGCTGCAGATTTCCAAGACACAGCAACAAGAGAATTTCCAAGAAGAGTCCCTCTCAGGGGATTCAGTATTTATAGTGGATCAGGAGCCAGAGGCCTCCAACCAGACCAATGACTCATTGCAATGAACATCTCCAAGTAAAGAAATGTGAACAAGAATATACTGTGGGACACAGTCACACATTACAACTTTGACAACAAGATTTTACCCCCTTTGGGCTGGAGGTTGTAAGGGCAAAGGGTGGGCACAAATGGATGAGAAGATGAATAGGATTGGGGTGCTTGGTGTGAAATTCACAAAGAATCAACAAAAAGTTAAAAACAAAAACAGCAACTGGACATGGTGGCAAACACTTTCAATCCCAGCACTTGGGAGGCAGAGATAGGCAGATCTCTATGAGTTCAAGGCCAGCCTGGTCTACAAAGTGAGTTCCAGGACAGCCAGGGAAACCTTGTCAAAAGATAAAAAAAGCACAACAACAAAACATAATTCTTTATTATTCTATACTTTAGTTAAGAGACATCTATGTTGTTTCCAGTCTCTGGCTATCACGAATAAAGCTGCTATGAACATAGTTGAACAAGTATCTTTGTGGGATGTTGGAGCATCTTTTGGGTATATGCCCAGGGTATAGCTGGATCTTGATGTAGTCATTGAAAGAACAATACTCGACTTCATATGGAAAAATAAACCCAGGATAGCTAAAACAATCCTGTACAATAAAAGAACTTTTGGAGTTATCATCATCCCTGATCTGAAGGTATACTACAATAGTAATAAAAATTGCATGGTATTGGTATGGAAACAGACAAGTTGATCAATGAAACTGAATCGAAGAACCAGAAGTAAATCCATACACCAGTGGACACTTGATTTTTGTCAAGGCAAAACTATACAAGGGAAAAAAAGAAAGCATCTTCAACAAATGGTGCTGGTCTAACTGGATGTCTGCACATAGAAAAATGCAAATAGATTCATATCTATCACCCTGCACAAAGCTCAAGTCCAAGTGAATCAAAGACCTCAACATAAAACCAGACACACTGATTCTGATAGAAGAGAAAGCGGAGGGTAACCTTAGATGCATTGACACAGGAGACAGCTTCCTGAACAGGACACCAACATCCCAAGCACTAAGTTCAACCATTAATCAATGGGACCTCACGAAACAGAAAAGTTCTGTAAGGCAAAGGACACTGTCAAAGGGACAAAATGCCAGCCTACAAACTGGGCAAAGATCGTCACCAACCCCACATCCAACAGAGGGCTGACATCCAAAATATATGAAGAACTCAAAAAATGAGACATCAACAAACAAAATAACCCAATTTAAAAATGGAGTACAGAGCTAAACAGAAATCTAGACAGAGGAATCTCTAATGGCCAAGAAGCACTTAAAGAAATGTTCAACCTCCTTAGTAAGCAGGGAAATGCAAATCAAAACAACTCTGAGATTCCATCTTACACCTGTCAGAATGACCAAGATCAAAAACTCAAGCGACAGCACATGCTGGTGAGGATGTGGAACAAGGGAACAGTCCTCCATTGCTGGTGGGAGGGCAAACTTGTACAACCACTTTGGAAATCAATTGGTGGTTTCTCAGAAAATTAGAATTAGCTCTACATCAAGATCCAGCTATACCACTCCTGGGCATATACCCAAAAGAAACTCCAACATCCCACAAAGATACTTGTTCAACTATGTTCATAGCAGCTTTATTCGTGATAGCCAGAGACTGGAAACAACATAGATGTCTCTCAACTAAAGTATAGATAAAGAAGACGTGGTACATCTACACAATGGAATACTATTTGGCTATTAAAAACAACATCATGAAATTGGGAGGCAAATGGGTGGAACTAGAAAAGATCATTCTGAATGAGGAATCCAAACCCAAAAGACAAACATGGTATGTACTCACGTAAGTAAATGTTAAGTCATAAAGTATGGATAATCATACTACAAACTTAGGGTCCGAGGTGGGGACACATGAATTTCATTGAGAATGAGAAATAGATTAGATATCAGGGGTGGGTGGAGGGAGAGGACCTGGTGGCAGATGAGGGTGTGGGGATGGGAACAGGAGGGATAAGGTTGGGGGGAGGACAGAGGGAGAGAGTACTGGGAGAGACCACTGGAGGAGGGTTGGAGGAGGCATCTCTGGGATGAGCTAGAAACCTAGGACAACAGAAATTCCCAGGTGTCTATGAGGCTGACCCTAGCTAAGACTCCTAGCAGTAGGGAATATGGAGCCTGAACCAGCCACCTCCTGCAGCCAGGCAAGAGTTCCAGTGGATGAATTGTGACACCAACCCAGCCATAAAACCTTAGACCCACAATTCCCCCTGCCTACAAGATGTGCAGGGGTAAAAGATGGGGCAGAATTTGAGGGAAAGGGCAACCAATGACTGGCCCAGATTGAGACTTGAAACCCATGCCATGAGAGGGAGCCCACCTCTGACACTATTAATAATATTCCACTATATCATACCATACTATATGCTATGCTATGCTATGCTATGCTATGCTATGCTATGCTATGCTATGCTATGCTATGCTATGCTATGCTATGCTATGCTATACTATACTAGCAGACAGGAGTCTAGCATAACTGTCATCAGAGAGGCTTCACCCAGCAACTGATGGAAACAGATGCAGAGACCCACAGACCGACATTAAGTGGAGCTTAGAGAATTCTGTGGAAGAGGGAGAGGAAGGATTGAAGGAACTAGAGAGGTCAAGAACACCACAAGAAAACCTACAGAATCAACCAATGTGGGCCCATATGACCCATAGAGACTGAACCACCAACCAACCTGGGTCTTCATATGGGACTTCAAGAGTGGGAGCAGGGGCTACTTCTGACTACAATGCCTGCCTTTGGATCCCTTTCCCCTAAGTAGCTGCCTTGTCTAGCCTCAATAGAAGAAGATGCACCTAATCTTACTGCAACTTGATATGCCAAGACTGGTTGATAGCCATGGGAGGCCTCCCTTTTTCTGAGGAGAAAGGGGAGGAGGGCTGGATGAGTGTGGGTGGGAGGTGGGCTGAGAAGGAGGGACTGGAAGGAAAAGAGGGAGGGGGAAGTTGCAATCAAGATGTAATATCAATAAAAATTAATAAAATTAAAATAAGAAATCAGTACTTTAACTTTATCGAGGACTTATGGAGAAAAGGTGTTAGCATCTCTTAAGTAACACTCTCAGGAGTCTGCTATGACAAAAATGAGCCCGCACTATACCTGTCCACAGCTCTCAGGAAGTCTACCCAAGTGCCCGTTATGTGCCTCACCTTCCTGATAGACATCCCACATCACACCTCTAGGCTCAGGATATGCATCTTCACAACTGTAATGTATTGTCAGATTGCAGACGTGTCTGAGAGTCTGCTTGGCTTGAACCTGCGGCCTGGTAACGCTAATAGGACCCAAGGAGCAGTCTGGTACCAGAGAGCAAACAGGGGCTTCTGGGCCCAGCATCTTTTGCTCCAAAAAGTACCCAATCTTGCTAGTATCCTTGGACACCTCTGTGGTCTTCTTGATGTCTCAGGGATCCCACAGGCATGCCTACCTACCTGGTTAATACTGCCCTGTCTCTTCCAGGAAGCTCCTAGGGTATTTTTCCAGCCCTAGTTCTAAGGGGAAGCCTCTGTTTCCTCCTGTGCTAGACTCATTGAAAGCATACTGGCCTCACTGTTGGGTGCCTCTGGCCCTACAAATCATGGTGGATGTCTACATCAGGTTGTAATTGCTAGAACTCCAATCTAACTAGCAGAAGGTCTGTTATACCCAGCTCCAACCTGAGCCTGCCTCCTCTCAGGGTATGTCCTGCTATCAGCAAAGTTTACTGGACATAGGTCGTTTGTCTCCTTATCTGAGGCCTCTGGGATTTTTTGGCTTGGAAACCTGCATTTCCCAGAACTTGCACCAGCAGGGGTAGGCCAACCAACAAGTTGTCCATTTATAATCCACCTGCTCTGGGGTTCAGAAGCAGTGTGGCAGGCAACTGAAGGCAAATGAAGAGCCCTGCCCCTGCCCACATGTGGAACATTGTGCTGCTCTTGCCCTCACTGTTGGCTGTGCTTCAGACCACTACTGGCGAGAAGGTAACAGTACCCATAGGTGCCTCTGTGTATACCTGTGAGCGTGTGGCGTGAGCTGGGTAATGAGCAAACACATCTGGGAAGTTGGAGAGTGTCTCTGAGTTTGCATGTGATTAAGTAGGCATGTGTGTAGGTCAGAGTGTGCAAAGACATGGTGCTAACTAGTCACCAGACAGTATCCAGAGATCCTTAAGGTTCCTTCACTTAATAGATGGACCGATCCTATTCTTGCCACTTTATAGACAAAAGAATAGAGCCAATTGCCCCTTGGGGCTGACAGCAGAGCCAAGTAAGTCGGGATGTGGCTTTATGAACCCAGCTCTTCTGGTCTAGATGAGTGACCTCTGGGAATGACTTACATGTTCTACCTCTCAGTTTCCACATCTGAAAAAGGGAATAATATAACATAGTCACAGGGCTGTGCTGGTTGATAGTCAAGCTTATAATACGTAGGAAGTGTTCATTGCCACACACAGTACAGAGCTGACGCTTAACCTGTAAACAACTCATGCTGTGCCTCTGTGCTAAACTGGGGCAGGTAACCATGAGTATCTGAACAGTTTGTGTGCACACAGCACGACACAGGGAGCAGGTAGAGGAACAGGGCTGTGTGTGTGCACATATCCTTCTTAAGGACTTGCCAGCCTTTGGGCAAAAGGTGTATGTGTCGAGCAGTACCCAGTCAGGGCAGAGGGTCCATCGCAGGGAACATTGACAAAGAAGAGTATTGCTCCTCAGAGACCTGACCGTCACTAGATTCTCTCAGCTCTCGTGACTGATGGGACACTAGCAGGAACGCTTTCTCACTTTCACTAAGGCCAGAGTTTCCAAATATCAAAGACCTTGTTCACACCCCTCCTACTAGAGAACCCAACCTGCAAGCAGGGTCCCTCGCCTCTGCTGTAATAAGCAGCATGATCTCTCCAGGCTTGCACTGTGATTTTTTTTTGACATTTATTTACATTTCAGATGTTCAGGCTTGCACTGTTACCCCTGTGTGCTTTGTTTCCCATGAGATCTCTGTAGGTCTGCTCTACAGGGCTGTCTTGTGGGGAACGAAGTCCACAGCTGCCTCTAACTTCACTGAAATGTTTGATGGAGTTATGCTGGAGGCCTAGACAGTATCCAGGCCAGACAAAGGGTGGAGATTGGTCTGGGACCAGAGTTGAAACCTACTCTTGAAGAATTGGGGGGGGGAGTATCAGGTAAACAACCCAGCCCTCCTCCTTGTCCCTTGTCCAGAATGGCATCGATATCTACAGCCTCACAGTGGACTCCCGGGTCTCTTCCCGATTTGCTCATACTGTTGTCACCAGCCGGGTGGTCAACAGAGCCGATGCTGTCCAAGAAGCGACCTTCCAAGTAGAGCTACCCAGGAAAGCCTTCATCACCAACTTCTCCATGTAAGTGTCTCTCTGCCTCCTCCTCAGTCCAGCCTTGCAGCTCCAGTTTCCCTGGGGCTGAGACATATTGTCCGACAAGTTGGGCACTCGGGACCACTGTTCTACGAGTCAGCCTCACCGGGAATAAGGATGTTATCAAGCCCAGAGATACCTCTGTCCCTCCTGTCATCCAGCCACCTCACCAAGTACTGCCAGGTGATGGACCAAGAACCAGTGTCTTGGAGTCTTTGCCTTTGAGAAGTACAAGCCTAGGAAAATGCTAGCCTGGGCACAGGAAGTCACCAAAATCAGGTTCCAGCTGGAGAAATATAATCTCTACCTCCTGGGGTCCCCTTTGTCACTGCAGAGAGCAGACAGATCTACTGGGCCTCCTCAGGAGTTGCCAGGGTTCCTGCAGACTCCGAGCCAGCAGGAGTCCTTATGATGTCCTCTGCATCCCTTCCCAACGCTGCCCTCATCTATTTTGCAATGTTTGTTGAACTTGGCAAAAATCTATGCTTGGCTCTAGTCTCCCAGAGAGGCAAGCATTGAAGGCAGGCTGCTCCCAATAGGGGCAGCACTTAGGGGTGGAGGAGAGGGGGGTGCAGGGGGCAGGCTAGGTTCCCTGTGGCTGGCTCCTCCCTTTCTCCCCACCCACCTCCACCCCAGAACAGTTTCCTGTTCCTGAAGTTTAGGCTAGTGGGCCCAGATCTTTTACTGCACAAGACAGAGTAGTGCAGGTCAGGTGTCGGGAGCAACTATGAACTTTTCATCCAGGAGAAGGAACCAGGCTTTCCCTGTCCATTCCCATTCTGGCCCAAGACTTAAACATGACCAGAAAAGGGAAAGGAAGATGCCTGTTCTGTGGATTCAGCTAGTTCCCCTCCCTTCCCCCGCCCCCATCTCTGCATGCTCCTGTATCACTCCCAGGACCAGCAGGTGACCATTTACTGGTCTCTATTCACCCCACAAGGAGCTCCTGGAACAGCCATTTTCTGTGCAGAGAAATGGCCCTGGCAGTTCCTTCTCAACCTCAAAGAATGACTTCCAGAAACGTGTCTACATTCCCAGGAGTCTCTACCACTAGGTGCCCCAAATCTGCTTCCAGAGATGCCAAGCTCCCTGCAACACCTGCCCTAAGCAGGAGGGTGGAGGGAAAAGGACTAGGATCACAGCCTCCAGTCCTGTGTCTCCCTCCTGCTCAAGCCTGACCACACAAGGGGCAGATGTAGGGCTTGGTAAAGAACAACTCGTTACTCTCTTGTTTTTGTTATGATTAGCTGGTGCTTCAGAACAGTTTATAAGGGTCCCGGGGCAGTGGAATGTGGACTGAGTTTAGCCCAGTCCTGCCTCCTCTCCTCCTCAACTTTCTGCTCTATCCCTGCAGTAACACCCATGTGTACTAATACTGCATATGTCTCAGGATAACTGAAAGCCACTCCCAGTGTCATAGATGGGCTCTTCTACCCCATAGGTGCATGATAAATGAACCGGGCAAAGACAGGAGTCACATCTAGCTCACCAAATTCTGAAAAAGCCCTTCTAAAAAGGTTCTCAGTTGTTCTCTTTCTTACCTAGGATCATTGATGGCGTGACCTACCCAGGGGTTGTCAAAGAAAAGGCTGAAGCACAGGAGCAATACAGTGCTGCTGTGGGCCGGGGCGAGAGCGCCGGCCTCGTCAAGTGAGCCAATAGGGGAGGGTGTGTATGGTAGAGACTGCTCCTACCTTGGCCTTTAGCTTTGTTCCCTCCAGGAGACATTCCCAACTTGACCTAATCCGTTCTTGTTCTTATCCCTCAGGACCACTGGGAGACAGACAGAGCAGTTTGAAGTGTCAGTCAACGTAGCCCCTGGTTCCAAGACTACCTTTGAACTCATATACCAGGAACTGCTCCAAAGGCGACTGGGAATGTATGAGCTACTCCTCAAAGTGAGGCCTCAGCAGCTGGTGAAGCACCTTCAGGTACCTGGCACTCCTTCTCCAGGAAGCCCCATGGATAATCCCCTCCCAACTAAGACAGCCTCCCCTTGCCGCCTAGCTTCCTGGGAGCACAGCCTACTTTATGGCATCCCTGGTGACACATATCTCACTTCCAGATGGATGTCTACATCTTTGAGCCTCAGGGTATCAGCATCCTGGAGACAGAGAGCACCTTCATGACCCAGGAGCTGTCAAATGCCCTTACCACTTCACAGAACAAGACCAAGGTGGGCATGTTTTAACCATCAAGTGAAGACACCCAACCTTTAGCCTGTGGGCTAGATTCCCAAAACAGTTGGAAGCTCCCTGAGCAAGAAACCTCTGAGATCTGTGTCTATGCCACTACCAAAAAGACAGGACAGTAAGACCTAGAGGAGGTCAGTGGGTCCTTCTAGGAGCTTGGAGTCTATGGGGAGAGCAGACTGGTGAGAGGATCCTCAAAAGAGATAACTGGATTGCATTGAGCCCAGATGCTTGCACGTCCCCAGGAATGGGATGCATACATGTGCATGCCCACACACATGTACCAAATGAATGCACTCACCCTTCAGCTCAGAATGAAAGTCCCCTTGAGATTTTGCCCATGGCCACATGCGTTTTGGAATCTGATTTTCTGAAGTGCACACAGAGAGGGTTGTCCGTGTGCTCTGCTGTTTCTTTCAACTTCAGCTTGGATTGTTCCTCCAGGCACATATCCGGTTCAAGCCAACACTCTCCCAGCAACAGAAGTCTCAAAATGAGCAGGACACGGTGCTGGATGGGGACTTCATTGTCCGCTATGATGTGAACCGGTCTGTCTCTGGGGGCTCCATTCAGGTGGGTGGACTCCAGACAAGAGCAACGAAACCTCAAAGTCTGCCTTTCCTTCGCACGTCTAAGCATGAGGGTTCTGGAAAAGGGAAATGGTGGTCCCTCCTTTACTCTGTGCTAGGGGTTGACTCAGACAGGAAACAGGCAGGTCAGTCATCATGAATCATCATCATATTGTTATTCCCTTTCTGGAGGCAGAAACAGGTTGCCTCTGCGGAGACTGACTTGGAGGAGTCTGCCTCTGCGCATTTGTTACCTAGAGGCTCACAGCTCGGTCTTGCGTGCAAGTGTAGCAGCTGTTGATATTTGTGCTTCCCTTTACTCCCTGTTTCCCCAGCGCTCCAGCTTGATGGAGATTGGGTTCATCATGTCTTTTAGTATAATCCGCCTCAAATATTAAAACAGGGAACAAAGTTATGGAGAGGGTACTAGGGTAGTTCATGAGTACCTAAGTCTTCTGTTAGTAGGGGTTGAGCTTTGAGAAATGGTGAAGGTTTGGGGGGGGGAGAAGCTGAGATGGAGAAGGGTCATGAAAGGAGAACAGGGATCCAGGATGAGGAGGCCTGGCAGAGGTAGGGCGGGGCTTAAGTTCTGATCATCTGAGTGTGGGCTTGCTCTGGTCACAGATTGAGAACGGCTACTTTGTGCACCACTTTGCCCCAGAGGACCTTCCTACAATGTCCAAGAATGTGCTTTTTGTCATTGACAAAAGCGGATCTATGTCAGGCAGGAAAATCCAGCAGGTAGGTCTGTCTCCCAGACCCTGAGACCAGCAGCCACTTCACCCATTCCAGCATCGTGGGTAGGGGCTTCCTGGGGCCAAGTTTGGCCTGAAACATGCACTATGAACCCACCTAAGATACCAGGATACTACCCTAAGGATCATGCACCTTTGGGGAGCTCCTCTGAGACACTTGCTTTGTTTTCTCTCCCCAACCCCCACAATCAGACCCGAGAAGCCCTAATCAAGATCTTGAAAGACCTCAGCCCCCAAGACCAGTTCAACCTCATTGTATTCAGTGGGGAAGCAAACCAATGGAAGCAGTCGCTGGTGCAAGCGACAGAAGAAAACTTGAAGGAGGCTGTAGACTATGCCTCCAAGATTCATGCTCAGGGAGGTGAGTGTCAGTCACTATATCATAGGAGAGTGGGGGCTTCCATGGTCACTGGCTGGGACCAACTCTGAGCCTGTGTCCTTCAGGAACCAACATCAATAATGCAGTGCTCTTGGCTGTGGAACTGCTGGATAGAAGCAACCAGGCTGAACTACTGCCCTCGAAGAGTGTCTCCCTTATCATCCTGCTCACGGACGGCGAACCCACTGTGGGTGAGGACACTGTGGCCATTCTTGGGCATGCTAGATGTGGAGAGAGGCTGTAACTGCTTCCAGGCTGGCCAGGCTGGATGTGAAACCTGGGGCAGGAGAGGGAGAATTGTCAAAGCCCCTTTGACTCTGAAGTTCCAGGAATATCTGCTGAGCAAATCATTCTTTCTTATCTGATTCCCAAATTTGTGAATCTAGGGGAGACCAATCCTACGATTATCCAGAACAACATACAGAACGCCATCAATGGGCAGTATAGCCTCTTCTGCCTGGGGTTTGGCTTTGATGTGCACTATCCTTTCCTGGAGAAGCTGGCACTAGACAATGGTGGCCTGGCCCGGCGCATCTATGAGGACTCAGACTCTGCACTACAGCTTCAGGTACCAGTTTGATCCAAGGTGGGATACAGACAATCAGGCAGACCCTGTTTGTCTGGCCTTTGTGACATATTCCTCCCCCCACTCCCTGTCATACCGTAGGACTTCTACCAGGAAGTAGCCAATCCACTGCTATTATCGGTGGCCTTTGAATACCCCAATGATGCTGTGGAGGATGTCACTCGGTACAACTTCCAACACCACTTTAAGGGCTCAGAGATGGTGGTAGCTGGGAAGCTCCAGGACCAGGGCCTTGATGTCCTCTTAGCCAAAGTCAGTGGGCAGATGGTAAGCATGGCTGAGTCATCCAGGAGCAAAGGGGTAGCTGAGGCAGCTGGGGCAGCCTTGGGGCAGCTGAGGCAGCTGGGACTACCTGGGGCAGCTGGGGCAGCTGGAGCAGCTGAGGCAGATGGGGAAATTTGGGGCAGCCTGGGGCAGCCTGGGACAGCTTGGGCAGCTTCCGTATTTGCAACCTGAGGGACTATGATCAAGTACTAGCCATACCAAACTCCACTGATTGACCCTGAGTGAGTCTCTGAGGTCCCCTTTCCTCCTGTTTTCCTGAAGGACACCAGCCCTAGCCACATGGGTTCAAGGTAGAGATCCAATAAGACAACATACTGCTGCTCATAAGAGAAGCTAGCACATATAGGAACTGATAACTCGGTCTGCCCTGCTGCCTCCTGACTCTTCTGGAGCATAAGAAGGGCAGCAGATGTTCCTTCCCAATACTCCTTTCCCTCTACCCTCATAGTAGGCCTTTGAGGGCAGACAGAGAGAACTACTCCCACTTCACAGGAGAGCAGAGCAAGCTCCAGGCAGGACAGACAAAGTATGCTAGTCCCCACTGCTTCTGTCTCACCTCATAGAACCTCGTCCTGGCTCTGGCTTCTCTGCCTCAGGGTGCAGCAGGTTCAGCCTGTTGGAGTCTTTAGGTTGAGGGATTCTGACAACCCTCCTTACCTTCCTGGGACAGACAACTTGTACAAAAAAACAGAGAGACGGCCTAGAATGTTCCTGACAGTGCATATCCAGGAATTCAGGAGAACAGTGCCGGGAGCCTCACTTTGACCTGGGATCCCTGCGGGAGATCGGCTGAGCAGAACCCAGGAATGAGGAAGGGCTGTTGGGCTCATATGTCAATAGGGTACCTTGTTTGCAGGGCGGGGGGCAGGGCCTCATCTCAGACATAGCCAAATAGGAGGATTGTTGCCGAAGACTGTATGGCCAGACAACCTGTCTTCAAAGCCACCTCCATCACCTCGCAAGTGACTTAAACTCCTCATGCCTTGGTTTCCTCCTGACCACAAATGTAGTTAGTTCAGGTGCCTACTTCGTAGAGTTACCGTGGAATACTTTCTAGCCCCGTGTAATCACAAACATGACTTCAAACATAATGGACAGGGTTGTGTACACTTTGGCTTAAGTGCAGGAGATTGAATCTAGGGCTCCAAGCAAGAAGATAAACTCATGTCTGAGGCCTTCATGTACCAAAGCTTTGGCAAGCCAGGTCCTGGGTTAGAGCTGGGAGACACTGGTACCAGCACAATGGACAGAAGATTGTACAGAGCCTCTTAGCTGCCTGCCCTTCTGATGAAGGAGGCTTGGGGCATCTTTGCTCACTGCCCCCTTTCCTAGGCTGCCATCTAGGCCAACTTAAGACCATAACCACCTTTCCCCTGGGGAGAAAGCAGCCAGACCATGCTTCCTGAGGCACATGTTTCCTGTCATTGTCCCAGGGTGGGCAGCCCCAGCAGAGGGGCAATGTGGAGCAGACAGCTTCCTGGAGCTCTGAAGTGCTAGTCTCAAGCCCACTGCTAACTACTGGGCAAGGCCCTGCCTTTCCTTCCTCTTCCTTTTCCCCATGTCTGGGGGAGCAGAACCCTTTCTGCCCCACGCTATGTTTGAGACTTCTTCCTTCTGCTCTGGCCTGGAAGGCGTTGTCCCTTCTTATAAAAGATGAACTGACCCAAGCTCCTGGCTACACAGCTGTCTTTCGATACCTGGTCAGCTGCTAACATTTACCCCACCTCCTTCTTACCCCAGAGCATCTGTGGGAGACCATCATACTCCTGAACCCCCTTCCTATCTCCACAATACTCAAAAGTAATGCAGTCTAGGCAGGTGTGGGCCTGAAACCCTCACTGCCCCTGCCTGGACTGGCACCTCTTTGCAGCACATGCAAAACGTCACTTTCCAAATGGAGGCCAGTGTAGCCCAACAAGAGAAGGAGTTCCAGAGCCTCAAGTACATCTTTCACAACTTTATGGAGAGGATCTGGGCATTGCTGACCATACAGCAACAGCTAGAGCAGAGGTGAGTGGCCCATTGCAGTGGCTTCCACATGACACCACTAAGCCTTTCAGTGGTGAGGCAGGCACATCTGGCCCAGGCTATCTACCAGGTATCCATGAAGTGTTATGTCCAAAGTCTTCTCCCAAGGGCACTCACAGGAAGGGGCTGAGGAGAGGGGAGCTGCCAAGACAACCAGCTCCTGAGCTCCCATGTCTTCAACCCACAGGATTTCAGCGTCAGGTGCCGAATTAGAGGCCCTTGAGGCCCAAATTCTGAACTTGTCACTCAAGTACAATTTTGTCACCCCTCTCACACACATGGTGGTCACCAAACCTGAAGGTCAAGAACAATTTCAAGTTGCCGAGAAGCCTGTGGAAGTCGGTGAGTGTGGGGCTGGGTCTCAGCCACCACTGCTTCAGACCACGCCCCTGATCCTGCCATCACAGACTCCCAGAGACCATCTTAACTCACAAAGGAGGAAACTGAGGACAGGCCCTGCAGCCCTCTAACTCACTGCCTGTACCTGTTACAGTCTGGGGCTGGGGAAGCAAGTTTAAGCAAAAGCTCCTAAAAGTAGCAAAACCACCCATAATACCCACCTCTCTCTCTTTCTGTTTCTTTGAATAGATGACGGAGTGCGGAGACTCCTCTTAGCAGGTAAGGGCTTCAGAGCTCACAGGCCTGCCTGTGTAGGGTCCACCAGCTTTCTGACGGCCATGTTTCCCCCACTGCTGGTGTCATCTGACCAAACACACTGGTGTACTTCGTGGCTTGCTCACCCAAATATTGGCCACCCCTCAGATCTTGCCCTGGACTCTAGGTACACAGACCCCCTCCAGGATGGAGCCCCAGAGAGCTGGCTCCAAAGAGTTAAACGCAATTCTCACTGTCTTCCAGCTCAAGACTATCGATTCAAGACTCCTACCAGCAGATCTAAACTGATTACCATGCTGAAAGGTGACAACAGACAATGGGGTGGAAAGAGAGGTTTCTAGAACTGTGCCGGGATATAGGCTGGGCTCTGTTTGGCTGTGGAAGGAGAGCGCCTAGCCTGGGTCACTTGGCTGGTAACAGGCCCGTGTCTAAAGATCGGGTGGGTTTAATTAGGGGTTAGCCATCCAGACTCTTACTTGACCCAAAGGATTCAGCAATTAGGGTGATTGAAGGTGCACTGCCTGGGGAGGGTTGACCCTCCATGGGGAAGAGTTCCACCAGTGTTTACGTCCTGGCTAGGGAAGGCTCTCCAGAAGGAAACAGGGGCTACCTACCCTCTCTACATCCTACTCCTGACATGAGGTCCCTAGTCCTGGCTATGGGGACCTAGGACGTTCGTTGCCTGTGAGAAACTGCTCATGTCAATGTTTTGAAAGTAGGAAGTAGGCTCCAGAAGACGCCCAGACTCGGTGATGCCTTTGTTACATCTAGACAACACATTTCTCCTGGACTTCCTGGACCTCCTGGACTTCCTGGACCTCCTGGACCTCCTCATTTCGCTTCTGGCTTTGACTTCAGCCAGCAGCCTTCCTTTGCAAGGATGCTAAATCCACCATCCTTAGGTGAGCCCCTTTTCTGACCCAAAGTGGGCTTCCTTCTTTTCCTAGCTCAATGACGCTGACCCATTGAGGGAGAGAGAGCACCGAGCACAGGCTAGGCAAGGACATCTGCAAAAACCATGCAGGTAGATTAGGCCTGGCAGGGACCCTGTCCTAAGGCAGAGCCAGGAGCCAGGGGCTGGGAACAAGTCCACTATTTCCTGCCCTTGATTTTCCATCCCTCAACCAGCCTCCCTCTGCCTGGTCCTCAGCATTTTATCTCAGGGATGAGCTCTCCTGGCTCTTGCTCTGTCCCTAGATTGCCGGCCCACAAGCCTTGACAGAGTAGCCTCTCTTGTGAACCCTGGGTCCCAAGAGGGCTCACGACTAGGCTCTTTAGACCACCATGGCCAACTCTTTCCGTCTTGAGGCACCTCTTCCCCAACCAGTTACTGGACACCAGGTGTCCCTCCCCCAGAGCAGGACTTTACACTTCCTTTGTTCCCTGAGGATCCACTCCCCCTGATGAGGAAGGAAGACTTTCCCATTTCCAGCACCAACTATGGTGTCTTATACTGCTTCCTGTTCCCAATCTGAACTCAGATTTAGTTGGGACCTATCTCCTTGAAATCTCCTCTGCCCCTCAGGCCTGAGCTTGGTGGGCAGTAAGGAAAGGTCAGGGGCCTCAGGTGCAGAAGGCCCTGCATCCTGACGGCCTTTACCTTTCTGTCCAATGTTCCTGTGCTCATGCTTGCCTCGCATCACAAGATCCCGTCGGCCCAAGACTAGCTATGTTACCAGACATGGAGGAAACCGATAAAGGTACTGAAGCTAGTGACCCAGCTTAGTAAGAGACCAACTGCCCGAAGTGCACAGTCCCTGAATTTGCTCCCCAGCACTAAAAGCAAACAGACAAACAAACGAACAAACAGGCAAACAAAAAACATAAAGATATCCTTGTCAGAGCTCCCCCCATAGCTCCAGAAGATATTGAAAAGGGAAAACCCTGGATCTCTATAACCTGTTACATGGTATTGTACATGTTAAAATGGAGAGAGAGCCACAGCCACAGTCACCTACCACCCCATCCACAATGCCCTGAACCCAAACTTTTCCTTCTTTCTTTCAGAAAGCACCATACCAGAAGAATCCCCAAACCCAGGTAAGCATTCCACACACACAGACACACACACACACACACACACACACACACACACACACACACCTTTGCCCCCTAGACTTTGCTTCCTGCCCCAGGAACTGTATACTGTCTATTTTAGCCCACCCCCAGGTTCATACTGTCATCTTGCCGCTTCTGGGATCCAGTGTGGACCAGCTCTGTGTGGATATCTTACATTCTGAGAAGCCCATGAAGCTGTTTGTAGACCCCAGTCAGGGTAAGGGATAAATCCCAGATATCTACATTGAAATCCCAGACCTCATATGACTTAACCACTAACCACAGCAACATGCCCAGCATGGGCAAATGTCCTATAAATGAAAAAAAAAGCCCTCCCTCCCATAGCCACATGTCAACCTTCACTGGGGACTCCACAGGGCCTGCACATATGGGTCAATTTCCAGAACTGAGAGAGGGCTGAAGTTGCCTAGAGTCAGGAGCTGTACAGGGTCACCCAAGATTTTCAGATGGACTGAGGACAGGGTAAGGATGTTCCAGATAGAGGAAACAGAGCTGAGGAAAAATGCCCGCTGTGTCTCCGTGTGTCTCTCGTAGTATTGTGGAGGGGAATGGTTGGAGAAGCAGATGTGTTAGCCAGACCACACTCACTAATCCTGGAATGGCCTCGTTGGTCAAGCTGAAGTGTTCAGGCAGACACAGGGATGGACAGAACTCAGGAATGTTCATGCTGAGCCACAAAATACCCTGGGAGAGCCACAGCTCCCTCAGTCCTCTGAGAATCACGTGTTCCCCTATGTCATCCTCCAGTAGCCTCTCTGCTCTCTGAGGCAGGAACTTTCCACCTCACTCTCAGCCATACAGTAAGTTCAGGACCCAGGCAGAGGACTGACGAATGCTGCCATACTTGAAACAAGACCCCCCCCCCATACACATCCTTCTCAAAAGTCTAGCAGGGTGGTCGTCAGCAGGATCTGAGGTCAAAACCACAGGTAACTAAGGCTGTGTGGAGAGATTATAGGAACTAGACCTGAGCCAGGCATGATGGCACACAGCTTTAATCCCCACACTTGGGAAACAGAGGCAGGAGGATCTATCTCTGTGACTCTGAGGCCAGCCTGGTTGGTCTACATAATAAGTTTACAGACCAGCCTGACCTACCAGGTGAGATCTTGTCTCAAAAAAAGAAAGAAGATAAAGAAGGAGGAGGAGGAAAAGGAGGAGGAGGAAGAGGAGGAGGAGGAGGAGAAGGAGGAGGAGGAGGAGAAGAAGAAGAATCAGACCTGAAGTATTGCTGAGCAGAGATCCTTCTGGGGACCCCATTCCAGAAGGACATAGGGGAGACTCCTTGTTCAGGCCATTGCTCTGAATTGATTTTGAAATCTCTGGTCTGGCCTTTGTAGGGCTGGAGGTGACTGGTAAGTATGAGAATACTGGGTTCTCCTGGATCGAAGTGACCATCCAGAAGCCTCACCTGCTGGTCCATGCAACTCCTGAACGATTAGTGGTGACACGGGGCCGAAAAAACTCTGAATACAAGTGGAAGAGGACACTGTTCTCTGTGTTACCTGGGTAAGTCCCAGAGTGGGGTCCCAGGCTGTGCTGGCCATGACGTTAGTGAAGACAGATGGCCTGAGCCCACAGATGAAGTGGTTGGTTCTGAGTCCCCTGCAGTAGGCTGCCCTCCTGGCAGGACAGGGGTACATTGTAATGTCCTGCAGCTCTGGAGGCATTGTCCTGGGACCTGGACCTCATCAGTAGCTCAGGTCACTAGTCTCTGGAAAGGTGGCGTGGTTAGGAGCATAAGCCACATAGGGTCTTAGTTCTGTTACTAATCACTAGACTCATTCTGAGTCAGAGGCCTAAGGGACATGTTGAAAGGAAGTAGTCAAGGGAACATCTACCATCAGATGGCACAGAGTCTCTTACATGTACTGCCTGGTGAGCTCACGATGACATTCATGAAAAGCTGAGGCCTGACATCAGGGCTTATGAATGCTACGTAGCCTCACCCGCAGCATGTGAGGATTCTAGTTGCTGTAACACGCGCCTGGGAGGAGCAAGGGATGAAGGATTATTTTGGCCACTGTTCAGGTCATGGTTTCGAGGTTCTGTTGCTTCTGGACCTGGGCAGATCCTTATAACGGCGAGCCTGAGGGGAAGCAAGCATGCGAGACTCACCTCGTGGCAGCCAAGAGGTGGAGAAAGCAAAGGGTCTAGCCGGCCTAGCAAACTTTTTTCTGCTTTTTGTGCCATCTGGGCCCCCAGCCTGACACATGCTGCTGCCCATACGCAGGGTGACCCTTCCTGCTGAGCTGCTCTCTAACATGCCAGGCTGTGGGAATGCCTTAGTAGATGCATTAACAAATGTTCTTTTGTAATCTGCTAAGTATTTCACAGTCCAATCAAACTGACAATTAAAACAAATCGGCAAGCTGTGCGAAGCTTTGGCAAGAAGACAGCAGCTTAGCTAAGGTGCGGCAGATTCCCTGCTGCTGTGAGCAGAAGCCCACAGGAAGCAGCCTGAGGGAGGGAGGACTTATGCTGTCCACACAGGAGGCCTCTGGCAGGGCAGAGGGCATGGCAGAGCAGAGAGTGCCTGAAGCAAAGAGCATTCTCTTCCCTCCCGTTTATTCCATCCACCCCCAATTTGTAGGCTAGTGCGGCTCAAGTTCAGAACTGATTCCCCCGCACTTAACCTCCAAAAATATAGATACATCCAGAAATGAGTTCTATGAAAATTCCAGGTGCTTTGCAGTTCAGTCAAATCGATAGTGACTGTTATCCATCACCCCCAATGAAATCATATAAAAGTCACTCCTGAGGAGGCAAACTTAAACCAGAGCAGAGGACTTATTATTCTCTTTTACAGACAATGCAGGGAAAGCGAATCTCACTAGCCTCACTTTAGTGCTGTCTTGACGGTGAGGAAACTGAGCCTAGAAGATTAAAGGGCTCTCTGCCTAAGGCTACACAAAGACTTCCTGGTCAAGAGCAGAGGCCTCACCCTGCTGCCGGGGCACAGCCTACTGAGACACCACCATGCAGGTGTCTCTGCCTTCCTGCTCAGGGCTTGGTGTTTCTCTGCAGCTTGAAGATGACCATGGATAAGATGGGACTCCTACAGCTCAGTGGCCCAGACAAAGTCACCATTGGCCTCTTGTCTCTGGATGATCCTCAGAGAGGACTGATGCTGCTTTTGAATGACACCCAACACTTCTCCAACAACATTAAAGGGGAGCTTGGTATGATGCCGCTTGCCCTTAAAAACCAGCTGTGACTGGGCACAGGCAGTGCCACTCACTTCTGCCCATCTCCCTCCCTGTCCTTAACCCTCACCAACCTACCCTTTATCTCAGGTCTGTTTTACCGGGATATTGTCTGGGATCCACCTGTTGGGCCAGATAATACAAGACGGGTAGTCAGAGTTCAAGGAGTCGGCTACCTAGCTACCAGGTAACTGGACAGACAGGCCGCTGAGCCCTGCTATGGTGGGGTATGGATTAGGAGGGTGAGATCTACAGAACCCCACTCCTGTCCATGCTTGAGAACTAAAAATAGATGAAAGGATGACTCCCCCACAGAGGATGGTTAGCTTGGACTCTCGGTTGTGGGCAGTACCATGGTTTCCTTGCCCCTTTCAAACTTCCAAAGTCCTGGGCCCAGAAGACATCACAAATAATCCTCTTGAATAATCCTTGGGCAACTGGGCCTTCCTGACCTGTGTCAGAGGGTATTCTGAGTGACTTTGAGACCTCCTGCACTCCATGCTCCCGTCTACAACCACCCCCACCACCCATCTCTTTCATCTTACCTGAGATTGGCTGGCCACCTACCTATGTTTTCTCTGCTGTCTTCCTACCCTAGAGAGATCAAGTTGAGTTACCAAGAAGGGCTCCCAGGAAAAGAGATTTCCTGCTGGACGGTGACGATATAAAACTGTTAGGAGCACCACTCCCTGCCATGCTGTCCTCGTGTGCAGGCGAATGACACTGTATACCACCAGGGCCACCTGCCACCAGGGCCACCTGCCACCAGGGCCACCTGCCACCAGGGCTACCTGCCACCAGGGCCACCTGCCACCAGGGCCACCTGCCACCAGGGCTACCTGCGAGGCCGAGACCTTCATAGGGAAGAGGATGCTCCCTTGTTACAAATAAAGAAAGGCGGTGTGAACCCAGGGAGTTGGTGTCATGATTCCATGTGGCCAGTCCTGGGGGACTTAGGGTCCCAACCTGTATATTCTGTCTCAAAGAACGTTAGACTCTTCCAGAACTGGCTCTTGACAGCCTGGGGCCAGGAAAACCCACAGACAGTTTTCATTCCATCTTTGTCTTTGTCACAGGAATCTAAAACCAGCCATTCAAAATGTCATTGCAGCACCAAGTGAAGGCCTCAGAGCATCCATTCTCTAGAGAGAACAGGGCTCTGGCTGCTTTATGGTTGCCTGGACCATGAAAACCAGCTTTGACTCAAAAAGGATAAACTTGGCACATATATGATTCTTTATTTCTTGAAGAGAGGTGAATGAATCTTTTCATCTCTGAGAGAGCATTAATGACAGATCAAAGAAAGGATTCCATCCTAGACCAGTTGGTAAAGCAGTGAATTTACTGAGTACTTTCAGGAACACAGATGAGAGTTACATACAAGAACAGGAGTGACTTAAGGACAACGAGCCCCATAAACCCCACCCATCATGGAAGATGACTCTTGAAAGTTGTATCACTGGTAGCTAAAGAGCTGGCCATTAGTTGAGAGCACTTGCTGCTCACAGAGCCCCAGAGTTCGAGTTCCAGAACTGCCCCCAAATAAAATGTCATAAGGGGCTGAAGAGTTGGCTTAGCAGTTAAGAGCATCGGCTTCTTCTCTAGAGGTCCCAGGTTGGATTCCTAGCCCCCACACAGTGACTCACAACGGTCTGTAATGTTATCTCTAGTAAATCTAATGGCCTATTCTTGCCTGTGTGCAAAGGGTACATAGAGATACATGCAGGCCAAACACCCACACATAAAATAAAATAAATTACATGTTAGAAGTAAGTGAAAAATAAAATACTGAACCCTTTTTTTTAAAGTAAGAGAAAGAATCAGACATGAGAGTGAATGCCTTTGACCCCGGTGCTCAAGAGGCAGAAACAAGCAGAGTGCTGTGAGTTCAAGGTCAGACCTGTCTGTATGTGGAATTCCAATCCAGTCAGCACTACATAGTAGAAAGAAAAAAAGAAAGAAAGAAAGAAAGAAAGAAAGAAAGAAAGAAAGAAAGAAAGAAAGAAAGGAAGGAAGGAAGGAAGGAAGGAAGGAGAAGAAAGGAGGGGGAGGAAGAAGAAAAGAATGAGGAAGAAGAAGAGGAGGAGGAGGGAGAGAAGGAAACAGAGAGAAAGAGAAATGTACACCCTTGGGTGCCTTGCACAACTTACAGGCAGTTTTACCAGAGTCCCCTCCCCTAGCAATTTCAGCTTGGGGAAGAAGATTGTTGTTTTCTGAGCTTCCTAATCTTTTGCTGCATCTTTCTCCCTCCTCCCTCTTCCCTTCCCCCTCCTCTGTCTTCCCTTCTGCCTCCTCCCTCCTCCCTTGACTTTCTTCCCTCCAGGTGAGGGTGGGGGATACTTCCCTTCTGAGGAAATACCTTCACAACACCTGGCTAGTCCAGTTCCCAGACTTTCACACCTAGGTTTAGGTACAGACCCAAACCAGGTACAAGCCTGGTTTAAAACAAACAACAAACAACCCTACCACTGGAAGAAGACAAAAGTGAGGCCCAGTCATCAGAGGCGAGGAAGGGCTGCTTCTAGAAATCTCTCATATGAGGGCAATGGGGCTCTCAAGTCTTACGTTGTTGACAGACTCCTTTCCTGAGTACTCCACAGAGTTAAGCACCCTGGAGATTCCACCCGAAATATTTTTTTTTAAGTTTGTATTATAATGCTGGCCTTCGTGACACACAACTGTAATCCCAGCACTTGGCAGGCAGAGGCAGGCAGACCTCTGTGAGTTCAAGGCCAGCCTGGCCTACATAAGCAAGTTCCAGGCCAGCAAGGACTATATAGACTCTGTCTCAAAACAAATCAAAACAAAACAAAACACCCTTGCATCCAGAGTTTCTTCAGCTATCCACTCAACCAACTGTGGATTGAAATTGTTCCCAAAAGTTGCAGCTATACTGAGCAGGTACAGCGTTTTCCTTGACACTATTCCTTCCTACCTTTGTGTAACACTGTATTAGGTGTTATATGTGCCCTGCTGATGACGTGCACAAGAGGGTCGGAGCAGGTTGTATATGAATGCAGCGCTGTTTTACATAAGGGAGTTGAACATCTATGGATTTATGGTATCCTCAGGGATCTTGAAACCAATCCTCTACGGATACCAAGGGACAACTGGACTCCTAGAACAATCTACTTCTAGAAAAAAAAAAAGGAGGGCACAATCTGTGGCTTACAGATAGACGCTGTAAGGAGAATAAAACAATAAGCATTAGAATAAAAGAGCCAAACAGTTGCAGGGCACAAAATCAGCCACCAAAATAGAGGATGCTGACAAAGCAGCTGGCCACAAAACTATGCTCTAAATTTGGTAGCCAGGATAAAACACAAAGTGAGCTAACCCACTTGCCTATTAAGGAAAATAGACCAGATCATCAGAAAAATATTCTGTGCTAGATCTTGAGTTGTGGAGGGTGTTGTATGAATGAGTCTTTCTATAAGAAGGAGGGATCAGGCCAGTGGATGAACTTCCGGTAGCCTTACCCAATGTGTGAGATCACCTATCTTTCACTGAGATTCCTCTACCTAGTCACTCTGGCAGGGGACCTCATGCCAGAACACCATTAGACAAGAAAACAGCCCAGGATGAGAGACTTCCTGTGGGACTAGAGACAGGTGAGCCTGCCTGGCCCAAGTTCACCCTCTTAGGACACAACCAGATGGGCCTGGCCCCAAAGTCAGTGTGGGCCGCACCTGCAGGACAGTTGAACCACCAACTTTCCTGCTCACTGGGGGCTGCTTGGGGCCCTGGGCCGAGGGCTGGATTACACTGGGCACTGTCTTAGTTCTGTTCCATGCTGTGACAAAATACTTTGACAAAAGAACCTTAAGAGATACAGGTGTCTGCGGTGATTTCAGGTTACAAAGTCCATCACTGTGGAAGTTAAGGGAGCAGGGACTTGACTTGTCCAGTCACATTGAAATGGCTAAGATGACGCCATCTTTTCCTGACTTCATTTTGTGTCTGCCTAGACATTCCTTAGACAGACAGACAGACAGACAGACACACACACACACACACACACACACATACACACACACACACATACACACACACACACACACACACAAACACACACACCAGTACCCTCAATAGCCACATCTGCCTTGGCACATCTTTTGGGACTGTCTGTGGTCCAGACATACTAACCAGAGTAACTGATGTTTGAGCAAGCTAAAACATAAAACTGAAATAACTAAGAGGAAGCGTAAATCAGAAGTAATTGTCATGTGGTATCTGGAAAATACTGCTAAGCGCTGCAAAACGACAGATGTTGCTTCAAGCTCCCCTAAACACTGATGTAATTGTGGGTTTTGTCTCTCAAAATGCTGTACCTCTGGTCTTCAATACCAAGAGACGTGAGTCTGCTTTTAAACATCGGCTAATGAAATTATTTATATACTTTTATTCGGCTTAATTAGCCAGATTGTCTTGCATGGATCATTTTCACATCACATCCACACTACAGAGCAGAGAACAGTAAATGAATGCATTCATACCAAACGCTCAGCTGATGCCTGCTATCCTTTTCAGTCCAGGGCCCAGCCTAAGAAATGCTGCTGCCTACATCCAGTGTGGGTCTTCCCACTGTGATTAACCCAATTAATAAAATCCCTCACAGGCTGACCAAGGCCCAAACAAGTCCTCCCCTAGACTCCGTTCACAAGTGATTCTGATTCTGTCAAGGTGAAGAAATTAACATTGACGGTGCTGACTTGCTCATCCTGGGGATGTCAAGAAAGACTTCCTAGGGGTGAGTCTGAAGGACAAAGAGAAGGTCACTCTGAGTAAGTAGGCCAAGAATACCCATGAACAAGGGACAGCGGGAACCTGGGCCTAGAGACATGACACTGAACTGAGTCCTGAGAAAGAGAAAGAAAGGTGCTGTAGGCTAGGAGAAAAAGGGCCAGTCCCGGCAGCATACCCTTCACCTGGAGCAAGGCCCATGTTCCGACATCTGCCTCTCAGCAAAAACAGGGGAACTGAGGTACTGTGGGATTAGGGAGAAGATACAGCCAGCCTAGTGTCTTTCTGAGTGGAGGTGCTTCCCTGCTTGTGTGTTGAGGAAGAGGCAGAATTTGGCCTGGGTTAATTCTCTAGCCTTCTTCCAACATTCCCCCTGGATCAAGGGAAGGCCTTCAGTTTGGGAGTCAAGTCTCATGCTACTACTCTCTCTAGAGTGGGATCGACTAGGAGTCACCTTCCCTCCCCTCTAGGCCCTTGGCCAGTTTGAGCACTGGAAAGCCAGCATTGGTGCCAGCAGTGGGGAATGCCTGTAGGCCTTCTGTAGTGGGAGGTATGACAATTCTTGTGAACTATGGCCACATGCCACCCCCCTACCCCCACACACACATGCACACGCACATGCATTCTGCAGTGAAGATGGTCCCGGGTTAGATTCCGAACTCTAGCTTTATTGAACTCTCTGGTAGTCATCTAGCAAGCCACCCACTGTTTCCTTCTCCAGGATCTTCTGCCCAGCATCACTTTGGTCCTCAGCCAGAGACAGCAGAAGGAGCAAAGGGTCCAGGCAGGATGGTCACATGACAGTTAGAAGCAGCTTGTGTGTCTGGAAGCTGAATGGTGCAGAGAAACACCTGGAGTATGGACAGAAAGTAGAGAGGACAGGAAGCCTCTTGTCTCAAGAGGGATGAAGGGGATGTCCTAGTGCACACAGAGATGAAGGGGATGTCCTAGTGCACAGAGGGATGAAGGGGATATCCTAGTGCACAGAGAGATGAAGGGGATGTCCTAGTGCACACAGAGATGAAGGGGATGTTCTAGTGCACAGAGGGATGAAGGGGATGTCCTAGTGCACACAGAGATGAAGGGGATGTCCTAGTGCACAGAGGGATGAAGGGGATATCCTAGTGCACAGAGGGATGAAGGGGATGTCCTAGTGCACACAGAGATGA